TTGTCTTTAATGTTAAATTACATTGAATTCTATGTAAAAGCACATAAAATACACATCATTTTACTGCATGTAAAATGAAGGCAACTTTCTTTTTTTTGTTGCAGTAAAACCTTAAATTTAATGTAACAAAATATAAAAAAAACTAAAAATACCTGTATTCTGTACTGTTGTAGAATAAAAAGAAATCTTATTATAAAACATCTCTAAAATGTTAAATAAATGTATAAATCTTCACAAAAAATGTAATATATTGCAGAAATACCAAAAAATGATTTTGTATAAAGTAGTTTTCATAGTATACTAGTATAGTGAACTGTAAAAATAAATCTTATTATAAAACATCTCTAAAATGTTAAATAAATGTATAAATCTTCACAAAAAATGTAATATATTGCAGAAATACCCAAAAATGATTTTGTATAAAGTAGTTTTCATAGTTAACTGTAAAAAAAAAAGTTTCAAAAAAAAAAAAAAGCTATGGCACTTGAAATGGAATCCAGCCATACAACGGCAGACAAAACAAGCAGGATTGGAATGAGTCCACAACACTCCTGATTGGTTAATCGCAAAAACCTGCCAATGAGCACTGTCCGCGCCTGTCAATCCAATTTGAAACTACCAGTCAGTTTGAGCGGCTCTCCTGCGGAGCTACAGCTGTCTGTATGTCTGCTCACGAGTTTATGGACTAATATCGGGATAGTTTTACATCTACACGTTAAATATGAGCATCGGGACGTCAACAGAGAACAGAAGACTTGAGATCTGGTGAGTCCTGCAACTGTAATGGAGTTAAACATGTATTTAGATAATCCTTAGTTTGTGAATGTTTAATTGTGTATTTAAGGTTACGTTTCTTCTTCTAGTTCAGTGAGTTTTGAGTGATGAGACATATATTTTAAGGGAATCTGTGGAATCTCAGCTTTCATATGATACGTTTGTGCAGATAGCATGAAGTAAAAAAGATCGCTTTTGCCAGTTATGTGCTAAAGTAGCGTTAGCCCCGTTAGCTGTTTTCGCTAAGTGCCGATTTGCTTGGTGTTAGACTTGTGTTTCGTTTAGTTAAAAATTGTTAATATCGTCAGTTAGCTGTGTTTCTTCCCGTTAAGTGGTAAGCATCATTAATAGGTTGTTACATTTTTAAGAATTCCTGAGATGCTGTTTCTTGCAAGATGTCCCACCGGCGGGACAATCGGGCTTTACGGGTTAACAAGGTGGCTGCTAACGTTAGTTTACTTTACAGTTTATTGCAGTGCTGTCCCGCCACCCTCTCGTCTCCAACGCGGGACGATTACACATAAACGTGCAGCAGGGTGTCACAGTGTTGTCGCCAATCTTATTGTAAAGTTTCACAGCTTTTTTACAGCGGAATCCAGTTTGTTAATGTTCAGTAGCCAACAGCTGTCATAGCATAAACTGCTACCCACTAACGTTTGGCTAACTTGCTAGTTAGCTCTGCTCTATATATTACAAGCTAACATGACTAGCTAATGTAACAGTGTGTGAACTAAAATAGTTGTTGTATTACTACATCATACATGCTTGGTCCACATCTCTGCTAAAATTATTATTTTTAACAAAATTATTATTAAATTATCTTTATTTTTTTGCATTTGTATCACACTTGGCATACACGATTTTAGTTCATCAATTAGAACGGGAGAATTAAAATGATTTGTGGTAGTCAAAAACAATGTATTTAAAGAAACACAACATAGGAAAAATAATACGGGTAATTTTTTACCCATGTTGTGCCTTAGAAGTGTAGATACAACCATGATTTTTATTTTAAAAAGTAAGAAAGGAAAAATGAAAATTGGTGTTGATCAAAAACAGCTTAATTGAGGAATACCTGGAAGTAATTTATTGCAAAGATATTTACAATTTAAACTAATTCGGGTGACTTTTGATGCATGTTGGTTGTATGTTGTGTAACAAAGGGTTACCATGACAGCTGTGATGTTCACTCTTTTTGACAGGGCACCAGTGGACAGTGAAGACTATGGAAGAGAAGATGTGATGGCTTTGTGTGGAAAGCTGCTGAAGCCAGCCGATGACTCCTCTCATCAGTCTCTCCAGGCAGCACCCAGCTATTCTTCCATCTTGCAGATGAAAAGACTTTGATATGTGAGTAATAACTAACTTGTGTCTAACATAATCTTGAATGTCAGTGTTTCCCCTAGGTTTACTGCTGATATATTTTTTAAATCCTCTGGAGCAGAGAGAGGAGCTGTGGATTATTGTTATTGATTAATGCATCAGTGTTTCTTAGGGTCAAAACACTAAACTCAACTTAAAATGAAAGCGTTTAGTTTATTTAATAAAAGAGCTCATGTTCAATGTGAAAAGTGACCGTAGATATAGATGAGTTGCAATTTGGTGCTATATATATATTTAAAAAAAAAAAATATATATATAATTTTTTAAACACCTTGAATTTCAGGGGGAGGTGCGGGGCTCCGTTGGCGGGGCGCAGCTCCCCTCCAAGACAATGGTCGGGGAAGCACTGAATGTGGTTTAGTAAAAAATACCCCACATTGTACAGGACAATCAGACCTTGTTCAACAAAGATCATCAGACAATTGTTTTGTCTTTTGAGTTACAGCCGCAGCAGAGTCTGAGTTTGAAGAAAACCCTACAATTTAGTGTTGTTTAATCAATCAATATTTACTGGTCTTGAATTTCCTCACTGGATTACAAAATGCTCGAATCTTATTGTACAGGGACATTATGCAGATTTCATCACCTGAAGATGAAAATATAGATTCAGCGATATGTACCATTTTAAGGAAATAAACTGTTAGTGGTATTGACCGAAGCTCTGCAGCTGTAGCTAGGCGCTGCAAATGAAAACTCAAGTGCTCAATTTGTTGGTTTTTCTTTTTTATTAAGAATTGACCAAGCATATCTTCCTCTTCGAAATCCCAGTTGTACTTCGCTAACACGCAGTGCCTGGGAGGGTGCGTTTAATGGTTCCCACCCTTAACACATTTATGGACTAGGTCATGTTAGACAAGCAATCCAGTGTTAGTTTTAGGGTAAGCTCCACTGTTTTTTTATTTTATGTATTCACTTTGAGAGAAAAGCATTTCAGAAACAAGTCGCACAAGTTTGGCTCGAGGTAAAATTAACAAAAGGTAACTGTTGTTACCCCTTCTAAACTTATGAAATAATGAGAAAAATATGAACGACTCTTCATAGAGCCACGTCCACACACACAATGCCCTTGGGATGCTCTCAATAACTGTTTTACAATTTTGTGTGTGTGCGTTTTGTGTAACCCTGCTTCAAAGGTCCATCATACAAGATGTAGGGGATCTATTGGCAGCTGCTGATAATAACATCCATCATTATGGTTTACTAATAGTTATCACTTCACTTCCTCCTCCAGCACCTGGACACAGCAGGAACCTACGCCAGGATCCTGTTTGGGGACTTCAGCTCCGCCTTCAACACCATCATCCCGGCTCTGCTGCAGGACAAGTTCTCCCAGCTGCACGTGCCCGACTCCACCTGCAGGTGGATCACGGACTTCCTGTCTGACAGGAAGCAGCACGTGAGGCTGGGGAAACACGTCTCTGACCCCTGGACCATCAGCATCGGTTCCCCTCAAGGCTGCGTTCTTTCCCCTCTGCTCTTCTCCCTGTACACCAACAGCTGCACCTCCAGTCACCAGTCTGTCAAGCTCCTGAAGTTCAGACGACACCACACTCATTAGACTCATCTCTGGTGGGGACGAGTCTGCCTACAGGTGGGAGATGGACCATCTGGTGACCTGGTGTGGGGAAAACCACCTGGAGCTCAACGCTCTCAAGACAGTGGAGATGGTTGTGGACTTCAGGAAGAACGCAGCCCCACCCGCCCCCAGTAACTGCTGTGGAGTTTTTCCGCTTCCTGGGCACCATCATCGCCCAGGACCTCAAACGGGAGCAGAACATCTGCTCCCTCATCAAAAAAGTTTTCAGAGTGATTGTTTCCTACAGAACATTTTGTGATGTCATTTTATTGAACGTGTTTGATTGGAAAATGTTAGAAAAAAGCTGTAAAATAACAGTATTCTCCCTATAGAACTTTAGGTTCTGTATTTATTTTAGTGTTTGATCATACAAATCTAATAAAAAAAAATGTAAAAAACTGTTTTTCCTCATCAGAACTTTATTTAAGGTATTTGAATGTAACATTTTAAGACAATGGATTTTGGACTTTAAGGACAGTTCCTGTATATTAATTGCTTTTGCACTTTATTTCAGTTAAAATATTTTTACTTTAATTTTATGTTTTTTGTTTGGCACCTGCTGCCAGTCATTTGACCGTTTTTTTTACGGGTTTTTTGCCCGTAGAAGTATTAGTGCTGTCCTTTTATTAAAGGTCTGTAAAAAGACTGTAAAAAGAGCAGATAAACCTGTAAAATAACAGTGTTTCACTGCTGAACTTTTAAGTTCTGTCACTTTATTGAAGATGTTTGACCGTAATAATTTAGGATAAAACTGTAAAATAACAGTGTTTCACTGCTGAACTTTAAGTTCTGTCACTTTATTGAAGGTGTTTGATCGTAATAATTTAGGATAAAACTGTAAAATAACAGTATTTACATGCTTAACTCTAAATTATGTCCGTAATAAATAAGGGAAGATACCTGTAAAATAACAGTGTTTCTCTGTAAAGGAAATTAATTATATTTACTGTGAATTTACGGTATTTTCAAATTATTGTAATTGGGGTATTTCACTGTAATTTGACGGTACGTTTTTGGAATCACAGCTGCCAGACTTTTTACCGTTTTTTTTTTACAGTGTGGGTTTGTAATGAGCGATCCATTTCTGACAACATATATTTTATCCACTGTTAATTAAAAGCATTGATTAATGCAGGTTTGAGAGCACATGAAGGAAGTAAGTCCAAACTATTAGCAACTGTATCTGTCCCTGCTGTACAAAAACATTCAGTATAATAGCCATGGGAAGTTTTCTGTTCATTTTAAAATGTAAAAACATGAAAGAGTATTTAATTCAACTGCATGATCTTTATTTATGCCAATGCTTCTGATTTATCACTCAATCTCATCCACGTCCACATCAATGGTCTTGGTGCTTTCGATCACCTTTCCATCCACAACTGTCTGCACCACTGTGATGACCTTTGTGACCACTGAGGAACAAAGAAGATACGAAAATCATTAGCAAATCACATCACATTTCATAAATACAGTTCCAACTTGAATGGCACTGTAATGAACAAATATGAATTATATGCATGTGAAAAATTGCTTACCTTGTCTTGAACTGATTATGGAGAGAAAAAGAGAGAAGAAAAAAATGAGTCTAGAACCACTGTCTATTGTCATGAAATGTTTGATATTTTTTCTCGACATTTCCCCTGTCCAGTTAGTGTTTCTCCCTCTTTATCGGGCCTCACCTTTCATCCTCCCCATCCAGCAGCCTCCTGTACTCTGCGATTTCCAGCTCCAGCCGGGTCTTGAGGTCCAGCAGCATGTCGTACTCCTGCTTGTTGTTGGCGATGCTGGCGTAGAGTTGGGACAGCTGAGCCTCCAGACCTGTGACCCTGTTCTGGAGGCCTGAAAGCTGTGCGGAGTAGCGTTCCTGGGTCTCTGCTAGCGTGCCTTCCAGAGAGGTTTTCTGTTTTGGTCGGAGGAAGACATTTTGAGGTTAGTAATCCGGAATCATGCTTATCATGTAAGTGTAACATTTGTGGACTCATGGTAGTTACTGTCTTTATGCTAACTACTTAGCTATCAAGCTAACCTGCTTTTGGCTGCATGGATGTACAATTAGGCTTAAATACAGTGTCACTTTGCCTTGCTTCCATTTTTGCTAGTGGCCACATGCTGTATTACAGCAAAAAATCCCCCCTTTCCCAAAACGTATTTTCCCCATGAACCATCATTGTAAAATAGACATCTATAAAGCTGTTGAAAGGACACCTTGGCCTTGAAAGTCAGTTAAGACTTTTTCTATTATGCATGTTTTATCTATTCATTCTAATAGGTGTGAATCAGCAACATCTTTGGGTCAGGCTGTTATAAAACATTGAATACTGGCTGTAACTATATATTTAACAGACAGTATGAGAGTGCTATCAGTCTCATCCTATAACTCTAGAACATGTTTAGTGTTAACATGCATCATGTTGTATCCAGTGGATCACAATCTCAAATGTTAATATATGTTAACATACCATGCTCAAATGGGACTGCAGTTCAATCTGAAGCCTCTGCAGGCAGCTCTTCAGGTCCTTAATCTCTGTGCGGGTTGTCGTCATAGTCTCTGTGTGTGTGATCACGTCCTGCTCCACCACTGCGATCTGGGCATATCAAAGACACATTTATTGTTTTACCCATCAATTAAAGTAGATCATTGACATACTTTCGAGCTAAATAAGCTAACTCTTCAAAGGCTGCCTTCAAAGTGGCTTTATTCTGAACAGTTCTCACCTTGCTCTGGTACCATGCCTCAAGTTCCTTGCGGTTCTTGCCAATCATGGTCTCGTAGTGTTCCCTGATTTCTGACATGACCAGGTTCAAGTCTTGAGAAGGAGAGGCGTCCACGGCCACGTTGACCTGGCCGCCCATCTGACTCCTCAGCAGCATCAGCTCCTGTAGGCGACAAAAAACAAAGCCCGAGTGAGCTGGTGTAAAAACTGGAATGAATTGATTCAAAGAGCATCCAATTGTTTTCTTTTGCATTCACACGCTATTGGTTATGTGTGTGTGTGTGTGTGTGTGTGTGTGTGTGTGTGTGTGTGTGTGTGTGTGTGTGTGTGTGTGTGTGTGTGTGTGTGTGTGTGTGTGTGTGTGTGTGTGTGTGTGTGTGTGTGTGTGACCCGAACAATAGCTAATTGGGGTGTCAAACTAAATGTCATCGCGGGCTACATTAGCATTATGGTTGCACTCAAAAGGCCGGTGTAACTTTAAGACTATATATATATATATATATATACATATATAAATATATAATATATATGAAATAATGTATTATATTACATGATTGCCTCTGCATTGTATTATTATCGGATAGGGTAATAACTTCATGTTTAACTACGTCTGAAAGCAGAAGTGTACGGCAAATATTTGCAAGTCTCTTCAGTGCGAATGTCATACAATGAGATGCATTGTGGGATATGTAGTTTATGGGCAACATGCTTCTGTAAAGCGGCATGTAACCACAGGCCACATAAAATGAGGTCGCGGGCCTGATTTGGCCTGCGGGCCTTGAATTTGACACCCCTGAGCTAAAGGAAGTGTTCAGAGGGGGAGAGGGGCAGTTCTGGGAAAAAGGAGAAGGCGACGCACCTGTTTATAAAAACATGAACCTAACATTGAATCTAAGGTAGAGCTCATGTGTGCAAACTCTGAGGAAATTAGGCTACAATAGATGGCCATAACAAATGGTGACAAGTTTGTTTTATAGTGAATGGCTGTGAAAAGTTGAATGATGATGATTTTCAGCTTCAGGTTTTGTGCACACACAAAAAGGGTGTTGGCCTGTGTGCAGGAATGTATGAGAAACTGCCATTAACCAACCTTGGATTGGAGGAAATGTAAAGCTAGTTCCTGTACACTCTCACCTCTTCGTGATTCCTCTTGAGCATGATGAGCTCCTCCTTCAGGGCCTCGTACTGACTCTCCAGGTCCATTCTGGCCAGGTTCATCTCATCCAGAACCCTCTTCAGCCCAACGATGTCCGCTTCCACAGCCAGCCTCATGGACAGCTCGTTCTCATACCTTTGGGGGGGGGGGGGGGGGGGGGTTTCAATAGGTGGTCTAGATACATGAGTGCATTTGAACTTTCACTTATCCAAGGTGGGGGCACTCACTTCATTTTGAAATCATCAGCAGCCAGTTTTGCGTTGTCAATGTCCAAGACTGTCTTGGAGTTCAGCCTGGAAGCAAAACGGATCTGAGGAGGAGAAAAACAGGGAATCCCGTCAGAAGAAGTACAATCAGTCACATGTTTTAAAATGTTTTACAACAGTGCGTCATGGGATCCATACATTCACCAATAAAGGATTGACTAATTCCAACATAGGTACCCATAATACCTGATTGATTCATTTATCCATTGGTTGATACTAAACTTCAGTTTTTTGGAAAAGGTTTCCTTAAAAAATGTAAGAGATGGAAAATGTGACAAACAACCTAAATATTAACTTGTACATGAAGTAAATCCGATAAACAACTACGTATGTTTAAAGTATGTGTGCAGCCTGTACACAATTATATTGGTTCATAATATCAACTTTCTGCTCATCTTTCACACTGCATCTCTTTGTAATTGTCACTGTAACACTGAAACCTGTCTGCAGGATGTGACGAATGTGTAGGAATGAACTAGGTATGAAAATAACCAACGTGCTGCTTTCTGATTGTGTAATGTGTAACTCCCTGATAAGATAGCATACTTGGAATGTCATTGATGGGTTTCCTGGTTCCGTAACTCTCTCACACTGAAACATAAGAAGATAACAGAAAACACCCACACATGTTTACTTCCTCTCACCTTGTCCTTCAGGTCTTCGATGATGGCGAAGTAGCTGGTGTAGTCGTGGGAGATGTGAACTTTGTTCTGGCAGAACTCTCTGATCTGCTTGTCCAGTTGCTCGTTCTCCTTCTCCAGTTTGCGCACCTTTTCCAGGTAGCTGGACAGACGGTCGTTCAGGTTCTGCATGGTGGCCTTCTCGTTGGCGCCGACGTGGAGGTCCAGGCCATCAGTCAGGTTGAAGCCCCCGGAGGTAGGGGCATAGCTCTGGCAGGCAGAGGAGACGCGGGTGCCGCGGCCTCCTGCTCCACCGTAGACACTCAAGGTCCTTGAAGATTGGATGTAGGATCTGTTGCTGTAAGACATGGTGGGAGGTCTGGATCTGGCTCTGGGTCTGGATCTGGAAGGATGACTAGAGATCGTCAGCAGTTGAAAGCATCACCTTGGTCTCCTTGGTTATATAGGGGCCTAACGCAGCAAAGTGGGATGGGCCAGTAAGGCGAGTTGAAAGGGAAGAATGTGGCTGACAGGCTACCCCCTACTCTTCTGTGCAATCTATTCATCAACAAGGGTGTGGCGACTGGTGGGTCGGGGTTCTTCCGCCTTTTTCAAGTCAAACCCGTGATTCCACATTTCTTTGTAAGATCAATGAAGCGGCATTTCTTGGATACTTTTATTTCCGTCTTGAAACTTCATGCAGTTTTTAATTGCAGCCTTCGTTTTCTCTTTACTTGAATGCAGGTTTTTAGACATACACACCTTGAACGTTATAAAATGTGTTCCAACTGCTATGTTTAGCTATCTTGTAAAATATTCACTCAGCAGTGACAGAAGTGGCATATACCAGCGACAATTTCCCCTCAGTGAAACTTGGGGCCACAGGTTGAGGGAACGGCAGTACTTAGACCAAATGTCCAAAATGGTGTTAATTAAGCTAGGATATTTTCTTTTTGTGTGAAACCTGTATCACAAATATTTATCCAGGCTTGAAAAGTACCTAAGTGTGGCAATTAAGTACAACTTTAATAATATTAAATATAATATGCATTATATATTGAAATGGGCCATTTTGCACAATTTGTATTTTACTTTTGGTATTTTATGTATATTTTGATACTCATACTTTTCAACACAGAAAGGATAATTATCCAGCAAAGGTTAAAAGTAACATATTACATTAAATCAAGAAAATATTTAAGAACTATTTTGATGTACTTTACTTAAGTTGATCATTTGATGGTATTTTATACCTCAAATCTACTACATATCAGAAGCAAATCTTTTTGTTGCTTTAGTACATTTGTAAGCTGCACATTTACCAGCGACAACATTAAAATGATTTATATATATTAATGCAATTTCAATATATATTATCCTGAAGGGGACTATTCTGCATAAGGAGTATTCTTTTTATTTTAAGACATTTTGATGCAACTGCTATTGTACTTTGACTTTAGTATCACTTTTAATGACTACTTGCTTGAATATTTAGAATGTGCTTCTTAAACTAATCCAACTATCTGATTCTAGCATTGCATCATAAAGAGTAGACCACTGAGATGAACTACAACATGTAATAGTTTACTTCAGAGAGTTCACCCTCTGCATATCACGCCTGACCGGTAACTGATTAATACACCTGTTTAAATCTAATGGAACATTAAGCTGCTGGAAACAATCTGTAATTACAACATCCAACTTCCTGTGAAAAAGTCCCTGCTGGTTCCGTTGGGTTAAAACTGTTATCTCACTTGGCAGAAACACATTCTCATGCCAATAGAAAATCGTCACCTTGCTGTTGTTTTTTTAAAGTTATCTCTCAGTCACCTTTCAGCAGACACACAGATAAGCAGGGCGAGGCCTGAACACTGATGACTGACGGTCCTCCTGTAATGTACGTCAGCCTGCTCCTTTAATCTACCGACGACATGAAACATTTGTTTTACAAGAAACGTTTGAATCCATTGATAGATAGCTGTTAGTGAAATGATTTATGTGGAATGGTGCCTGGTAGAAGTACTCAAGTACAAGTTACTTGATTATTTCCATTTTATGTTGTTTTAAACTTCTAATCCACCACATTTCAGAGGCACATATTGTAGTTTGACTCCAATAAATATGTAAGTATAAAATAAGCCACACATTTATCAGCAATAACTTTCAATCAGCGGTGATACACATTATTGTCCTGCCTTTAAAATGTTACATAACCAAAAGTAATAATGTATAAGCATCAAAATATACTCAAAGTAAAAAAGTACGAGTAATCACTATGCACAATGGCCCACTTCAGAATAATAAATATTATATTATTGGATGTTAAAGGTGGAGTTTATTAATTTGTTTATATACTGCCAGGGTGGATCAACAAAGTTTTATCCTAACCGTTAAAATACATGATACATTTTTTGATGATTATATTTTGTATTATATATCTAATGTTTAAAAAGTACTCTTTTTATCTTTGAGATGTAACAGACTAAAAAATTGTTAAAACAAAACAAAAATGTTGGTTGTGCTGATTTGACCACCACTGCATTTAAAGGAGCACTATGACGCTTTTTGGGGTTTTCCCTTCCCTGTAGTGTTATAGGTTTTTGTGGATGTAAATGATCTGCAAAGACTAAAATCCCAAAGTTCCCTCCAGAGGGAGTTTCTCTCCCACACACACCCCTACGAGAAACACCTTGATTGTAGTCGTGTGTTTACTTGCGACATAGTGACATCATTATGTAATCCCTGTACTTCTATTGGCTATTGCTACAACACATTGTACATAGGCTAAGGGGCAGGACATCTTTAGGCGGTTGACCAATCACAACAGAGCCAGCCAGCTAACCAATCAGAGCAGACTGGGCTCTGGTTTCAGACAGAGGGTGAAAAGAGGTGCTGCAGCACAGGCTGTATGAGAAAAACAAAGAGCTGTTTGAACATTAAAGCATGGAGACAGTAGAGACACAAAATACAATGATGAAACCTGAAAATAAGCATAATAGGGCCCCTGTAAGCAGGGGCGGCGCCAGGGGGGAGCTAGGGGGTGCTGAAGCACCCCCCCAGGATTGCCAAAGCACCCCCTAAGCACCCCCAAGAAATATGTGTTTTTTTTTTTTAAAGAAAATTATTATTATTATTTTTATTAAATGAAATTAGAAATATTATTGATTACATCAATGCATATGTGAAACAAACACATTTTTGACCAAAAACATAAAGCCAACACAGGTGATATGATTAGGCCAATGGTCAGCACCCATTCGATTTTTGACCTACCCATAGGCTAAATTACTTTGTGACACTTGATTGACTTCCTGTTAGCTAGAGCGCCAAATGATTTGCTAACAGCAAAGTGAAAAATTGATCGTTTTTTAGTCCTTAAACGACCACGTGTGGACACTCAATCAAAACCAACTGATAGCGAGAGGGATTCTGCACATAATAGGCCTCGTGAGTACAAGTAGCTTACTTCTGGGTCTCTGTGTTTCATTCAAGCCCTGCTCTGTGTGTGTGTGTGTGTGTGTGTGTGTGTGTGTGGCACGAGCCATTTTGTGTGCGTGCGTGCGCGAGCGAGAGAGCTCGCCTCGCGCACCAGTGGGTATCTACCGGAGATCGTTGTGGTTAGCATCTGGTGCTAGCTAGCCAAGCTAATGGATATAAGGAGCTTTTTCAACAACAAGGTGGAGGGAGAACTCTCTCCTGTCAGACGGAGAGTCTCAGGTAACCTCAACTCAGGTGAAGTAAAGGACTCTCTCAGTGTTTAGATAGTTAACTTTAGTCTAGTTATCTCAGTGGGTCTCAAACGGTTTGTTTTAAAAGGGGAGTGATTTGTAAAATATCTATAAAGAAATAGAAAATCTGTTGACAGTTCTGTTTCGTATGGGTGTTGAGATGTATCCATAGATCTCTTAATGTTGCTCTCAAAGTGCACCAGATTGATGCTTTTAACTTAAATATGTAACAACAAATCTTCCCGGGGGAGCTAGCCCCCGGACCCCCCTAGAGGAGGTGAGGACCCTCCTAGAGGAGGTGAGGTCCGCTCCCCACTTGTAAAAATAGCACTTTACCCCTGCCTATATGCCGTGAGCTGATTATCGAGCCTTCATTGTAACAGTCGCGGGTGCACTGTGTGTGTGTGCGTGGGGAGTGTTGCAGTAGAAAATTCAACTGTAGCGCTGGTGCATTAATGGGAAACCCTAAATGTTTGAGCACCCTCTATGAAACGTCAAGCTACCCCACAGCACCCCCTAGAGAAAATCTCTGGCGCCGCCACTGCCTGTAAGTAACATACTATTGCATTTAGTAGAAGAATAAAAGTATATTTTGATGTTCTTTTGTAGCTTCTGCTCGTTCCATAATGAAGACTGTCTGGAGAAACTCCAGATTTGTAATGAATCGACGTTGGCTCCGTTCCAATGCATACTGAGGAATCATTTTACGAGGAAGCTTTTCCTGTAAAATAATCCATCACTTGGGTTGACAAAAGTTCCTTGAGCACCTCAAGCTAAATCTGATTTTATATGAGCAATTTGTTTTTCATGATTATTCTTTTGACTCGTAATTACTTTGAGTTTATTTTTCCCACGATCATAACGTTCCCCTTTCTCCATTTTAATATATTTTCATCCTCTCCAATTTGGAAAGATCTTTTGGTCTCCAAACAACGGAGACAAGTTTATCGCTCCGCCTACATCTCTGTCACACATCGACACCTTTTGTTGTTAATACAAATCTTTCTTTAAGATAATCAAAGTTCATAGTACGTTCAATCGATGAGAGGCATTCAAGTATAGAAACACTCCTTTATGTGCTCATGCTTGTGCAAACAGGGTTTAAATGTGCCAACATTCACTTAACATAAAAGTGACATCGGCAATCACTATAAATATTCAGGACACTAAGTGAAACAGTAGCAGTATAAAAACACGAGGGCGTGTCTGACATAAAATGCACCATAAGTCATCATAATGTGCTTTTCTGTTTTTTTCTTTTATGTTGAACCACAGTTGAAACAATTAGGAGTTTTTACATTGATAAACTGGAAAATACTGAAATGGCAGTTTCAAAACAAATTGACCTTGATGTGACATATTGGAAATAATGCAAGCAATTACTTATCTTTTTTTTAAATTCTGACCTGAAGTGCGGGGCTATTATGTGTTTGTATGATGTGACCAGGCTTACTGTTTGTGTTGTTACTGTTGTAGTTTTAATGTATTGTATGTTCTGTTTTCTATTGCACTGTAATGTGACACTGTCAATCACATCACAAGCTATGTCTTTGCTGTCAATTTATTTTTAAAAAAGCACAAAAAAATGACTAAACACATACTAGTATATACAAAACAAAGTCAGTAGTGTTAGAAGTATTCAGATCCTTTTCTAAATTGAAATACCACACTGCGAAAATACTTACTTATAATTAAATAACCTGACCTTCACCTCAAAAGTGGAAATACTGGCCATCCTGTGTTAAGAGAGGCAGTTAAAGAACAATATATAAAGACATAAAGTCCAACAAAAGTTACAACACTCAGACCTATACTGGAGAAACTGGTCTCCCCCCCTCAGCACCCCACACCCACTTCCTTTCATATTCAGTGGGCCGTGAGATCACAGTCACCACGAACAAGAACCTGCACGACCGCTTTGCCCATACCCTTTTCTTCTCAACCCACCAATCCAGATTCACACACACACACACACACACACACACACACACACACACACACACACACACACACACACACACACACACACACACACACACACACACACACACACACACCCACACACACACTGCTACTGTTTGCTGGCATGTGTTTGCATGCATGTGTGACTATGTGTGCATTGAAGAGCAACATACTTTGTGTCTGTGTGAAAGTGTGCGCCAGCCTTTTCTACGGACAATTAAACATTGTAATTACAGTGGCATTACTGAATCTTAAATAATTGCTTAGCCATAACAGTGTTGTGGTTTGAATCTAATATTTCTCCTTACCCCACATTTCCGGTACAGCAGCAAGTTAGTAGGTACATGTCTCTAGCAATATTTCAGTTAAAAAATATATCTAGAAAAGTACAAACCACTGTTGTCAGTCAATGTATAGGCAATGAATTTGGTACACCTAACATATCTTTTTATAAGGACTTTGTTCTTGCAATTTTTTTTGTGAAATATATTTTGAATTGCTGAAACACAAAAGGGCTATTTAATTCCAGAGTTTCATCAATACTTTATAATTAATAACTGTACCAATAAAGTGAATAGGTGCCAAAACAGGACAGAATGTGTTGACTCCTGATGGAGACAATTCAATTAGAAAAGTTGATCTAAAGGAGAATACATCATTTAATTCAAATGAATGAGTCTCACTGCATTATATTCCATATTTTTTTGTATTAGTTAATAATTTAGTTTTTGGGAGAAGGGGTTGTGTGAATATATATTTTTTTTTGCTGGGATGAAGGAACCCTCCGCTGACAATGCGTCACCCCCAATGTTGAATTACACACCCAGCAGTTTTAAGAGTCTCACAACTCCATTGGGTGTGGCATGCTGACTCCTGCTCTGTGCATTCTGATTTCTTTTTTCAGCCACTACCACTAGATCAGGGATGGGCAAATGGCGGCCCTCTTTTTGCGGCCCTCAGATTAATTTATAAACAACGTAATTCATTTTTTCCCTTTTTTTTAATTACTTGTAGTACTGATACCGTCCACTAGACTCCTAGTTACGTCGCGAGCTGCATACATGATTTCAAATACCGGCGCTGAGGAACAGCAGAGTGCGGTTGACAAGTGTCTGTGTTGACATTCCCCTTATTGTGGAATAAGGGGAATGCAGAGACTGGCTACAAGTGTCTTAGGTTCAAGTTAGACAACTAATGTCTGGGTTAGTGTCTTAGTGTTCATGACTTCATGTGTATGTCATCTTAATGGTTAATCTCAATGCACACACATTTTCTGTGCTTTCCAATAGTTTAAAATACTTTTATTTCACTGTTAAATAACCTGTCCAATACAAACATGCCACTTGTACAAATTAAATAACATTTCTGTGAACTGATATTTGTTTAGTGAGCTTATGTAGCACAGTGGATAGAGCGGGATCAGATGGTCACAGGTTCAAACCCCACTGCAGTCAGCATGTCGTTGTGTCCCTGGGCAAGACACTTCACCCCAAATTGCTCCTGTAGGGATTGCCCACAGTATTGAGTATGTAAGTCGCTTTGTATAAAAGCGTCTAACATGTAACATGTAATGTAATATTAGAGGATGTTCCCTGAAAGATTGTAAAATGTTAATGAAGATGTCAGACTTAGTATATTTGTTAATAATTACATACAATACATGGAATTTGTGTGTGTGTTCCAAGTGAATCTGCGGCCCCCTGGTGGCCAGTACATCAATTATGTGGCCTCCACAGCCCCCACCACCATCAAAGTTGCCCATCCCTGCACTAGATGGTGCCCTTTAGCTGTGATTCTTACCTACGCAGTTTAGAAATCTGCACAGGAAGGGTGTGGCTGTGTGACAATCTGTTCCAGTCAACTGAGAGATATGTGAACCCCTGAAGACCTCATTACATTTTACATTAGATTTATCTGAGTCTGACTTAAGAACTTTATGTGAGCATCATTTTTGATCTCCTTCTCAATATTTGTATTCTCAGAAGTTACAAGGTGGAGACAATACCCACGAACAAACAACACAAATAACCAAACAGCAGCAGCAACAACCCAGTGCAGTACTCATGTGTAATTCTGTTATTTTTACGCCCAGAGTAATAACACTGGACCATTCCTCTTTCATGTAAGGTGCAATTGGAGACCAGTTCCTAACAAACTCATCCAGAGCTCCTCGCATCAGATGACAACCTCTCAAATGGCAACATTTTGTTTTCAAACCATAATATTAGGCAGATCTTCATCTGAACATTTATGGAGTATTGTGACATAGCAAACAAAGCAACTCCTATTGTGAGTCTGGTCTACGCTCATAATTGGAATCTAACCCAAAAACAAAGTTATTTGGATTAAAAGCTATGTCTATCCCAAACACTTTTTTGGTCTCACATTGCACTGACGCCCAAATACATAACATTTTAGGGCAAGACCACATAGTGCCACAGCTAATGTTACATTTCCGGCATAATTAAAAGCACATCATCATATTATATTTACATCGAATAGCTGGGGTCACATGCAGTCTTTTGAATAACCTTGTATTGGGTCTCATAAGATGTGTTATCATTTTTTATCTAATTACTACGGTGGCCCTGAAGTGCAAGTCAAAACAGCGTTTCAGAAAACGAGACAGCATTTCAGAAAACACTTCTGTGGTGTTTTCTCAAATGCTGTGGTGTTTCCTGAAATGCTGTTTTGACTTGCACTTCAGGGCCACCGTAAATTACTTATGATATAACGTATTTTCTTAATGTGACACTTTAGCGAAAGCAACCATTGGCACTTAAAGTAAACAGACTAAGCTTCCTTATAATACATCTTTATTAATTGACTATTGGAATGATCCAAGGTGGGTCTATTGACCCAACAGGCTTTTGTTTAGCGGAGCCACAGTGGAAGAATAAAAGAGTCTATATGCACAGATAATAATTCAATGTGTAAGTGAATGTTTAACTTTGTGTGCAGAAACAGGTCCCGTATTGTATTGAGAGGAGAAACGCACCTCTCAGAACAGTGCAGCGTGGATATCAA